GAAGAACTATGGCATAATTGTGCTTTTAATACATAAAATTTAAAATCAAATTTTGCCTTGGAAAACAATTACAAGGAAATCTCATATTCTTTTCACCTAGATTTACCCACTGGTGGCATTTTGCTACATTTGCTTTTCTCTCTAAGTATATGTATGTGTCTCTCAATATAATATAAAACAATATTTATATTTTCAGTCTTATTTTCATTTACCAGATTAAGTTGCAAAAACCTGACCCTTCTCAGCTAAGCACTTTGACCAAAATCTCTCAAGATTCAGGACATCCTCCTGTAACAGAAGAAGAGTGGCAAGTGGAAGAAGGAGAAAATGTGAGGCAACATTGACCTAAAGTGTTCAGCCTCCTTCTGAAAAAGGGGAGTCAGGACGGTGGGAAAAGTCTACAATATTTTACTATGAGGATGATGTTAGCTGTGTGTTTTCCATATATAGCCTTCCTTATGTTGAGGTAATTTATTTTTACTCCTTATTTTGTTTTGTTTAGCTTTCACATATTTGTAAATTTTGTAGTTTTACTCCATCTATTAATTTCCAGTTTCATTTCGTTGGGCTCAGAAAAGATACTTTGTATGATTTTAAACGTTTTAAATTTAAGACTTGTTTTGTGGCCTAAAATATGGTTTATCCTTGGAAATATTCCATGCCAATCTGGGAAAACATGTGTTCTCTTGTTGTTGGATGGGAATGTTCTGCATAAGTCTACTAGGTTCAATTAATCTGTAGTGTTGTTCAAGCCCTCTAATTTGTTCTTGACCGTCTGTCTGTTTTTTCTACCTATTATTGCAAGTAGGGCATTAAACTATCCTATGATTGTTGAGTGATCTTTTGCTCAATTCTGTCAATGATTATTTCATATATTTTGGAAATCTGATGTTCAGGTATACATATTTAGAATTGTTTTATCTTCTAGATAAACGACTCTTTTAACATAATATCCTTCTTTGTTTCTCTTAACAGTGCTTGAAATACATTCTCTTTTATCTCATATAGATATAAACACAAAAGTACTCTTTTTGTTGTTATTTTCATAGAATATCTTCCTGGAGAGTATAATAAGTTGGTAGTTGCTAGGGCAGACCTATTTCCAATCTGTCTGGTGGCAAACCAGCACCCATTCACTCCTTCTAGTCTAGGCTTCTCCAGCCTTTCTGCTTCAGTCTTTCTCCAGTAGCCAAGGGGATTTGTCTCCTCTGTGTAGGTCCCCAGGTCTGGGATGCCCAATCTGTGGCTTGACTCACTCACTCCTCAGGGTTAGGTTCTATTTGCACAGTCTTCCTTTTCCTCTTAGTCTTTCCCCAGGTGCACACGTCCCAACCTGAAATTTTTACTCCTGCACTACCTAATTATGTGGAAATATCTCTCAAAATCTTGTTTGTATAGAAATTCTTCAGCCAGATTTCAGTCACTTTTCTGTGAGAAATTTTTTCCCTCATCTTGACCCGCCTCCTCTGGAAACAGTATTCTTGATCGGCAGGTCCCCCACCCCACCACATCACTTTCAGTTTTTAACAACTTAAATATATTATTCCACTGCCTTCTGGCCTCCAAATATTTTGTTGAGAAATTGACTGACAATCTTATTGGATGTGATGAGTTACATCTTTCTTGTTGCTTTCAAGGTTCTCTCTTTGTCTTTTGACAATTTGATTATAATATGCCTCAGCATTGGTCTCTGATGATTTATCCTACTGGAGTTTGTTGAATATCTTGCATTTGTAGATTCATGTATTTCATTACATTGGGAATTTTTTAGCCATTATTTCCTCAAGTAATCTCTCTGTCCTGCCTCTCCCTTCTGCTTTAGGGACTTTCATAATGCATATATCTGTCTACTTGACAGTGTCCCATAATTCTCTTAGGCTATATTCACTTTTAAAAAGTTATTTCTTCCTTCTGCTCCTGAGACTTGATAACTTCAAATGTCCTGTCTTCAAGTTTGCTGAGTCTTTTTGCCTGTGCAATTCTAATCCCCTTTATGTGCACTCAAATTTTCTTCCCCTGAGCTATATCCCCTAGTCTAGTCCTCTAGAAAATTTCATTTATTGTATTTTCCAGCTTCAGAATTTCAGTTTTGTTTCTTTTTTATTATTTTTATCTCATTGATTTTCTCATTTTGTTCACATATTGTTTTCCTGATTTTCTTTTCTGAGTTTTCCTTTAGCTTTTTTATCATGTTTTTAAAAAGTTGTTTTAAAGTCTTTGCCTAAAACATCTAATGCATATGTTTCTTCAGGGTTGTTTTTTGTTTTTTACCACTTTATTTTCTTCCTTTGGAAGGGGCATATTTTCATTTATTTTGTATGCCTTGTGATTTTTGTTGTTGTTGTTGAAAAATTGAATATTTATTTATCTAATTATTTATTTTAAATGGAGGTACTGGATATTGAACTGAGGATCTTGGACACATTAAGTACCTGCTCTACTACTGAGTTATTACCCTCCAACCCCCTGAAAATTGAGCATTTATGAAAGAAGTCAACATTCCCATTCTTTGCATACTCTCTTTGTGACAAGGAAGTCTTTCCCTAAGCTGGCCCTTGATTTTGAGGCTTAAGAAGAAGCTTAGGAGAAGCTGTAGTCTCTTTAGGCTTTTTTGAGCATGCATCTTCCCTCGACCTGTGTGTTACTTTTTCAGTTTTCCCATATATGTGCTCCTATAAGTATATTAATTTCCCAAAGTGTGTCTCCTTGGAACTTTTGATTGTCTATTGTGTGTCTCCACACTGCAAAAAAAAAAAAAAAAGAAAAAATTCAATTTCTCCTCTCAACTCTCTATTCTCTATACTTACTTCTGGTCACCATATATGTGAGCATTTTTTCACAATAAGCAATTCTGACACTAATTGACAAGAGTTATTTCATACTCTACAGGTTAAGGGCTTAGTCCCACAAGACTTCCCCTCAGTTCAGATGCCAATTACAAATCCCGTTTGTCACCTGTACTCCTGACTTACTGGCTATACATTGGAATTTCCCACCATCTCTTCCTAAGGTTCAATAATTTGTTAGGATGGCTTAAGAACTCAGGAAAGATAGTTTGCTTACTAGATTACTGGTTTATATTAAAAAAAGGATACAACCTATAAACAGCAAAATAGAATAGATGCATAGGGTAAGGTATGGAGAAAAGGGTATGGAGCTTCCATGACCCCTTTGGATGTGCCACCTTCTAACCACCTCCACATGTTCATCAAGCCAGAGGCACTCTGAGCCCCTTCAGTTAGTTTTTTTTTAATGGAGGACTTCTTAGATATGGTTGAGTAAACTATTGGTCATTGGTGATTAACTCAAATTTCAGCTCTTCTCTGCTCCCCAGTGGTTGGAGCATCAGGCTAAATGTTCCAACTTTCTAATAAAATTGATTCCTCTAGGAACCAACTCCATTCTGTAGTGATCTAGGGGTTTTACAAAATCACCTCATTAACATAAACTCACATGTGGTTGAAAGGTGCTTTTTATGAATAACAAAAGACTCTCCTTTCATCTTTATCAGTCTGGAGCTGTTTTAAGAATTGAGGACAAAAGACCAAAAGTTATAAGAAAAATAATTTAATCTCTCTCATCACATAGTGTTTTAAGAGTTATATACCAGGAATAAGGACAACTATCACATTTTT